TTGGTGGTTTCCCTGTAACACCCAAAGGAAAAACTTTGCGCCATCTAGGAATCGAACATTTCCAAAATAACTCAACAAGCTTTCGTTGCGGTTTCTGTTTAAAACAAGACAAGAAGCTGAAAGCCTTTGACCAGCGGCACCCAAAGAAAGCCACGGAAACCCCTGGAAGCAATCCAAAAAAGTGGGGGGCTGCTGTGAGCTGATGACCAAAGGCTGGAGCTTCCGGAGTTTTTGGGTTCTGCGGTGTCCAGCGGCTTCCTGTTTAGGGGACTGCGGGGTGTCCCTGACCCGGCCATCTTGCATTGGGGACGGAGGGTGCCGGCCGCGCTTGAAGCGGAATGCTGGGCCGCACCCACGGTCGGAGACGCCTTGTGCAGCTGGATGGACACCAACTGCGTGCCCTTCTGGCCTTCCGCGCGAGCGAGTTCCGAAACGGGGCGAAATGGATCTGGCAAAACGATCCCTCCACTTGCCTCGCCCACTGGGCTCAGAACATATATTCAGCTTCCCTCGTTTGTGTGTGGTTTGGAGTCGAATCGGTGGGTTGGAGGTCAAAGGTAGCTTCCATGTACCCTCTCCACCAATTGGGGGTAACCTGAAAATCTGGGATTGCGACTCCGCTCAAAGATCATCTCGTCCACCCTAAAAAGGACAACATATTTTCAGGAGACGTAAAACCAACAAGGGAAGGTGCCTGGAGTCTCCATGACCCTTAACATAATGGGGTCATTACCCAAAACAAGGGGGTCATGGACCCATTTTTAAAGGGTCATGGAGACGCCAGGTAAACACATAATTACTCATTTTCAGCACATGGAAGTTGGCGAGAGGCGATCTTCGCCCCCAAGCGGCGCCTCCGGCGCCCTTTGCGGACCTGGGCCAGGGCAGATAGGCAGATAGGCGGATAGGCGGATGCCTCCCAGTCTGACCCCGAGAAACAGCAACTCAGTTGTTCAGTGACCCTGGAAAAAACAGGGAACCCTTTTTGGGGCTTGGACCATTTTTAGTGGGGCAGTCACCCAAAAACAAAGGGGAAACGGGTGCCACTGAACAGACGCAAGTATAGGTTTCGAAAAGCTTGGTTTCTTCGTCATGGCTGTCTTCATCCCTTTTTTCGAAGGTGGTTCTGAACCAGCCATCCGGTTCCAGAAAGGTCTTCAGTCGGTTTTAGTTGGTTTAGTGGTTGGTTTTTCGAATCTAACCCACGAGTATTCGCTTTTGGCAGGCCTTACTCCCACTCCCACGTTGCCCTGGGCCTGACAGGGGGTACTTTTATGAGGAAACTGATCTTCCAGGCACTCTCCCGCACTATGTTGGAAGGAGCTAGGGTGCCCAACAACTTTTTGATTTGACACCTTTTTTGGAGGGTCACATGGCACTGGTACACGAACATAGCGAAACTGCAACCACTGCTGACTCCAAAGGACCCCTATAGTCTAAGTGTGTCATCTCACAACTGTGTAGAAACTCTTCCAAACAACCCCTCAAAAAATGCTTCCAGTGTAGGCAACGCGGCGTCAGACAAAAATAACAGGTATTTTACATAGTATAGACAATGGATCAGCTTCCCTTTAGGATACAGCTCTTAATCCGAACAGCTCATTTGAAAAACAGTTGAAGAAGTATGTGAACACAACGCGCACGTGTTCCAAAAGAGGAAACAAACATCTCCAATCTTTCGAGACCTTCTTCGGCCAGCGCTCAGCCGCCTAAGTGAAACAGGTAGTTGTCGTTCTTGTAACTTTATGCCATCCCGCAGTCCGAAGCTTGGCGTTCCTTTTGAAGGCTGTCGCTACTCCATAGCCTGAAAGAGGAGGTCCCCGAGGAGTCTCCCAATCTGACCCTTAAAAGTGGTCGTGACCCCAAACACTTTGGGCAAACACCACTTCTTGAGGGTCAGACTCGGAGACTCCAGGTACATAGCATGAGTTTCGCTGGAATTGACCACCGGAAATCGCCCTTGAATGAATGAATGAATGAATGGAATGGAATGGAATGGAATGGAATGGAATGGAATGGAATGGAATGGAATGGAATGGAATGGAATGGAATGGAATGGAATGGAATGGAATGGAATGGAATGGAATGGAATGGAATGGAATGGAATGGAATGGAATGGAATGGAATGGAATGGAATGGAATGGAATGGAATGGAATGAAAGAATGAATGAATGAATGAATGAATGAATGAATGAATGAACGAACGAACGCACGAACGAATGAATGGAAGGAATGAATGCATGGATGAAAGAACCAATGAATGGATGAATGAACAAATGGATGAATGCATGAGTGAGCAGTTGGAAGGTTGCCTCCTGCCTGTGACGCTTAAGCCTTCCGCAATCTGCTTTTCAAGCCGGAAGAGCTGGCACCTGGCACACTTACCATCCTTTGAAGGGATCTCCGGCCAAAAGATTGGGCTGTCTTGTTTTCTTTTTCTTAAAGGAAACCAAGTGGAAAAACACATATTCTTTTGGGGGGGTCGCCGAAACAAAGACAC